AAAACAACACTTTACTTTGTTGAGTTAGCTTTTTTCTCAGTTTTTGTTTTTCATATAAAAACAGATGACGAAAACCATTAACGATACAGTCGACAAATGTAGAGATACATGTAGTAATAGAAATTTGACACAAAGACTGCAATCTCTGGAGAATGAACAACAAAATGATGTGAATCGATTACAAAAGAACATCAACGACTCCAACAACAAGTGCATGACGGTTAACAACACGCTGACTGTCAAAGTAAGAAAACTGATGCTTTTCCGATATATCATATACCGATGCCTTATCGATGTTTGAAGAGTTTTATATAAGAAGATGAATAACAGTATAAGAAAACTTGTTAAACACTCCAAGTATAAGAAATACGGTTATAGCTACAAAATCGCAATTGAAATCACTTCTTGGGTTATCATGAATTGTTATCATAGATCAATGAGGTTTCTAAGATGGAAGGACCAATGGGACCACGTGGTTACAATGGTAGTCAAGGAATACAGGGACCTAAGGGCGACAAAGGTGATACAGGAGCTACAGGAGCAGCCGGACTCAATGGCACTAAAGGCGACAAGGGTGATACAGGAGTTAAGGGTGATAAAGGCGACAAGGGAGATACAGGAGCTAAGGGTGATAAAGGCGACAAGGGAGATACAGGAGGCACGGGAGCAGTGGGTCCACAAGGACCTTCAGGGGCTGGGAATCTAACGCAGTGTGTTGTGAGGTTTGCACAATCGGATGGCACAGCGATTGGCGACGTCAAGCAAGTGACAGAAGTAATAGAAGAAACGGTAGGTGTACTACTAACATCTTTATACCTGATCAATACTTCATAGAGAAACCAAAGACTCAAGAAATTGACAACATCTTTATTGTCGGTTCGAAAGAAGGCACTATTTTACTTTTAGCCTGGCCTTCATGTACAACCGCGATAAAGATCCCCACTGATATCCACCACATAACATACCATCCATGTTGATTTATAGTAACATAGATTTGCTTTTTCGTTTCAGGGAAAAAAGATTTTGCATTATTCTTGCTCTTCAAACAACGCAGACATTGTGCAACGAGATTATAGGTTCCATGACAACAAGAATAAATACTCGTGTTGGTGTTTAGGGCAAGGAACCTACTCATATGCACGTAGTCCGCCATCTAAACCTACTAAAATGTACTGTTACATAACTTACACAGAATGTCCCCTTATATCTTAAATACAAAAATGTACTTTTTTCTGAATTTCGATCGTTGAAAATTTAGTTAAATACTTTGTTTTCACGGATGGAATTAGTTGAAAAAGTTCCTGAACTTTTCATATTAATATTTTGGAAATTTTAACTTTAATTCGTCAAACTAATCATTTTGTAGACCGTTTATTGTACTAATGATATTGGGCTAAATATTTGCCATCCCACACTCCTTTGCGCTCTTATCTTTTTTGAACTCCTGAAAAGGGAGCATGTCAACCGCACACGGTGATTTCTTTTATATGTTATTTTAAAAAATGTTGTCAGATAAAATGACGAATGTGAATGTCAATTGTCGGTGGGCGATTGCGCGACAGAAAGTATGGGTTTTGCTAATTTGCTAATTGAACGTATCGTTTGGGATAGAACGAAAACGCAGAACTCCATGGCATGATGAGTTAAAAAAGTTGCCGACTTAGAAAACATGACGTTTTGGAATCTAATATTTTCCAGATGATTGAAAAAGTTGCGAACACACATGTACAAATACCTGGAAATTCACTTTAATTTGTCAAACTAAATTTGAATAACTTGTACTTAATAACTCGCTGTTTTGCACGTCTCTTCATGATCTTTTTGATGTATGACACGTTATTATACTTTGATTCACTATAAAGA